AGAGTTTGGATTTATACCCCATCCTTCACTACCCAAAGGTGTCTCAGAGCAGCTTACAAACTCCTTTCCCTTCCCCTCTCCTCCCCACAACAGACACCCTGTGAGGTAGGTGGGGCTGAGAGAGCTCTTGACAGAAACTGCTCTTTTTCAAGAACAGCTCTTATCAGAGCTACGGCTTGCCCAAGGTCATCCAGCCAGGTGCAAGTGGAAGAGTGGGGAATCAAACCCGGTCCGCACACTTAACCACTGCACCAAACTGGCTCTGAGTAGCTGAAATGGATTGTAGTCTTTAAAGTAATTAATTAAGATTATTTTTTAAAACTATCTTAATATTTAAACAATGTTCATGTATTTATACACACACTTCCTTTTCATTCCTTTTCATAGATTTGAGAAATCTATATATGTATTACTTAAGGATATATTGTTGTCCAGAACTGGACTGGGTTTTTCCTCCTGCATAAGCATGACAACAAATTTGATTTATGCCCATTATGAATAAACCTCTGTTTGTCCATGACATCTGACTATAACCTAGCTGAAGTCTGAAATTTTACTTATTTAGAATCTGCTGAGGTGGCTTACATCATAATAATAATAATCAGGGGTTGTTTCGTAGAAAAAGAGCTAGGGGAACTCATTAGCATAACTCATTAGCATATGCCACACTCCTGAAATCACAGGAAGTGTGTCATAAGGCCACACCCACCACTCAGTTAGTCTTAGTCCTAAAGGTTAGTCTTAAAGGTGCTATTTGTTAGTCTTAAAGGTGCTATTTGAACTCTTGGACTAATTTCCAGCAACAGACTAACACAGCTAATTCCTCTGAATCTAAACCCACCACTCAGGCTCCACCCCCAAAATCTCCAAGGTATTGCCAACTCAGAGCTGGCGAGCCTATCTGATGGCACATGTGGGGGAAAACAAGCAAACCACCCATGTCAGGTAAAAAGGATAGAAGTTCAACACAATTTTATCTATTTTCAGTAACTGGTTTGTTGAGAGAAAAGCAACAACAAGCACATCAGTGAAGACCTAGTACCAGAGTGCCAAAAAGGAAAGCTGTTTGGTAATAGATGAAGTACAAAATATGTAGCTATTCACATTCCAGTTACCAGGAGTGTTCCCTCTAAGCTGAGTTAGTGTGAGCTAGCTCACAGCTTTTAAGCCTCTGGCTCACATATTTTTCTCTTCACTCAGGAAGGAGGGCTCCAGAGGCAAACTAACTGATGCAGTAGCCAAATCACTCGCTCACAGCTTTAATGCCAGTGGCTCACAAAGTAGAAATTTTGCTCACAAGACTCCACAGCTTAGAGGGAACATTGGTAGGCAATTCCAGGGAGAAAAAACAGCTATAAACCAAAACCAGCTATAAACCAAAACCAGCTATAAACCAAGCATGGGGGCAGATGACCACATTGCTACGGAAAATACACAGAAAATCCAGGCATTTATACTTTGTTTTCACTCCCTCCCCCCAACAATTCTGGCGGCCGCCTTGGTTTCAGCTCTTGCCGAGCCCCCGTCGAGCTTGGTGGTGGAGCTATGAGGCCGGCAGGAGCGCGGAAAA